AAAAAAAAAAAAAAAAGAAGCCCTGTAGTGTATTCTGAGGTCCTGTGGCCTGGTGATGGGGACATACTGGGTTTCTAAATGGTCCCAACAGCTTCATAGAAGCAAAGTGTGCTCACTTTGGTCCCAAAGTTATAGAGCCATTCCTGACTTAGTGTGACGATTATTAGCCATTTACTGAGGTTAAACATTAAAGCCAACTTTGACAGGAACTACTGTAGCAAAACACTCTGGGTACAGTGACCTCTCCGCAACAATAAGGCCTGAATGGTTTGGGAACAGGTGGGAGTGACTGGACAAACTGTGTATATGCAGAAATCTGTACTTAATCCTCCATCTGCTAATGTTTATGCACAAGTTTCATCTGTATCGTTTTCATGGTTGTACTAGCAAGACATCTTCAGCTTCTGCCTGGATGGTTGAACAAAAGGTGAGCTTTGGTTGAGAAGACAAACTTAACCCAACCTGCTTTACTAAAGGAAGCAGACTGATTTGTGGAGACTACATAGCAGAAACAAACATGAATCTGCACATCAGAATAAGAGTTTATTAATGAAAATTAAAAAAGAAACCACAATTAACATCTACACGAAAGAGTAGTGGAACCATCACTGCTGTTTGGAATAAAGTAGCAAGACAAAGATCACTCTCCGGTTGCTTTCTGTGAGTGCTGTGCCACGATGGAGGAAACGAGGATTTCACATCTACTCCATAGCAAAAGATCCCGAGCCCCTCACATACAATCAGCTGTACACTCCGATGCAGTAACGCGACTCGGTAAACATTCAGACTACACGGGCTCCTGACGACGCTCCACTTCTGGTCACTTAGGCACTCTTTGTCCAGTTGTAACAAGACAAGATGGAGAAAGGCTCCGTGTATGTACGAAAACTGCTTTAATTCAATCACAGATGAATTCAAGTCAATCACAGACAACACATACAAATAACTAAAAAAAAAGAAAAAAAAAAAGACAAGAGTGAAGGACAGATGCTGAGGCTCTGTGGTCCATTTAAGGATAGTTACAGTTTATTCCACCCTGCTTATTTCCCTTTTGTAGCTCATTGTCAAACTCATTTTGGATTGTGTTGTAGAGGTTCAGGGTAACAAGGAGTTGCCACACTAAACTAAATCTGGGCAGAAATTCAGGCCGTCTACCTTTCAAAGAACATTGGACTTGTGCAAAACCCATACCCTCCATTTATGGAAAGCAATCCCATGTGAACCCAACATGAAACCTGAAACACAGCCTCCCGATGAGCAGCTGAGAGCTGTGCTCCTGAGTACAGCTGGGTCACTGGAAAGCAAAGGCGTGAGGAAGGCCGCTCTCACTCAGAGACAGCCGATGAAGAGACACAAGAGGACGGAGACCCAGATGTTCTGGAGTTTAGAAGTTTAACTCCTTGTTTCCCTACAACAGATGTAGTGAGTACAAAGTTTATGATCTAAAGAGCCACACGGGAAATACATCAGGTAGAAATAAACTGGAACCATCCTCAAATATGAACACTGCTGAATTTCCTTCTTCACTGGTATTAGTTTAAGTCTGTTGAGCATTTGACGAGGAGTTAAGTGCTAATGGAAAAGGTTTGAGGAGGACTCTAGTGTAGCAGGTGGACTCGGTGGGCTCTCAAGTCTTTTGAGCATTTATCAAACATTTGCATCTCTGACATATTCGTCGTCAGTCCGTCCATCACTGTGGGCAGAGCTCGGTGGGGGCAGTTCTCCAGCTCCACTAAGCTCCTGATTGAGTCTGTACACAAAGATCAGGAGGAGTGGCTCAGAAACCCATTCCACCCCCCATACCGCCCATGCCTCCCATGCCTCCCATGCCCCCTGGCATTTCCTTCTCCTCCTTGGGGAGCTCTGTGACGACAGCCTCAGCAGTGGAGAGCAGAGATGCTACTCCTGCAGCATCCATCAGTGCTGTCCTCACCACCTGTAAGAGGAGGAAATAAAAAGTTAAAGCTCCTCCATAATCTGCCATGAAAAAAAACCCAAAACAAAAAGCTATATAGCATCCATCTTGCGAGTGAATGTGATTGGCTGAGCTGTACCTTTGTGGGGTCAATGATGCCCTTCTCCACCATATTGACGTACTCTCCCTGCATGGCATCGTAGCCCGTCCCAGGGGATCCCAGCAGGATCTTTTCCACAACGAGTGAACCCTCCACGCCTGCGTTTTTGGCAATGGTCATGGCAGGAATACGAAGCGCCCGTCTGATGATGTCCACACCTGTTTAGATCGAGGCGCTGGTTAAAACCGAAGCACGTATGGGTGTTACCGAGAAGAGGCTAAAGCACAATCTTACCGATCTTCTGGTCAGAGTTGGCAGTTTTGAGGGCGTCGAGGGCGGGGATGCAGCGCAGCAGGGCACAACCTCCTCCAGGAACAATGCCCTCCTCAACAGCTGCCCTGGTGGCATTCAGAGCATCTGTCACGCGGTCCTTCTTCTCATTCACCTCCACATCACTTGTTCCTCCCACCTGAAATAGAGCAAAGGTGTCACAGCTTTGCCTCTCCACAGGAAAAACCACTCATCCACAAATGGTGCCGAATCCAACCTTGAGCACGGCGACTCCATCCGAAAGCTTTGCCAGCCTCTCGTTGAGCTTCTCCTTCTCGTAGTCACTGGTGGTGCTTTCCAGCTGCTCGGCGATCTCTGCCGCCCGTTTCTCAATCTCAGCCGAGCTGCCTCCTCCCCTCAGCAGCAGGGTGTCGTCTTTAGTGATCTGCACCTCGCCGACCTTGCCGAAGTCATGAGCCTGGATGTCCTCAAGAGCCAGGCCCAGAGCCTCATCCCCAAACACCTACAGATACACAAAGAACGATATACCATCAGATGGCAGTTCAGATTTATAAAGAGTTGCCACACTTAAGACTGATGAGAACCTACAGTCCCCCCGGTGGCGATGGCCATATCCTTCAACTGGTTCTTCCTGTTGTCGCCAAAGCCTGGGGCTTTAACTGCTACCACCTGAAGCCCAACCTTCAGCCTGAAAATAAATAAATAAATAA